GGCCCCTTTGGACGAGGCGGACCCCCAGCTGAAACCCCTGATGTCGATGCACTTTGCCTGGTACCAGGGGCTCCTCAGGGTCCTGGTGGTGCGGTACAGCGAGAACCACTCACTCTTCACCAGTCCTGACGGGTCCATACACCACCTGGTGAGTCGCTGGAGACTTCTGCTGTACACTACCGCAGCAGTGGAAGAGGTGACCGCACACTCCAGTACCAGTGAAGAACATCTCTTTTATCTCAGGCTTAATCTTGGGCATTATCTTGGGCTTTATATCAGGCTTTATCTCAAGCGACCGAAGGTGACGAAGAGCAGGTGGTGTGGAGCGCATTCACATGACCCCCAGTGCAATTGTAATTGACCGAACGTGCTGTGCCTCGACCGCGACTATTATTAGCAAAAGGGCGAGGGTTTCGCTGCCGTACTTGCCCTCTCCCGGCGCCAAAGCCACCTGCGATAAATGTGTGCATGCTCCGTTTGTTTTTGGCAAAACAAACCCAGTACAACTGATGCCGTAAAATCCTCTAAAATTTTGGGGGGACACCCTGCTGATCGTTCAGCGAGTCATTTTCCAAGAGTCTCATGTCACTAAGCTAGGTGCGCAGTGTCTTCGTCGTGTGCACTTCGCTAGCCTGTCGATCTACCTTTTTGTATATTTTCTCGCATGGTTTGTGATGAGACCTTGTTTATGTTGGTATGAAGTTCTTTTATTCGTCTAAGATGCCTCAATATGAGGGCATTTGTTTCTTTTGGTCATTGTCTCGTATGTTATGAAATGGCATATTGTTTTTTGTTATCTTTTGTTATTCGTGCATGCTGTCTCATGCATGCCGTGTATGCTTGCTGTGCTCATTGCCCCACACTGTTGATCTTCAATGTACCTTTGTTATCAATAAATAAATAAATGAATAAAAAGCTGGAAGGTACGACCCTCGGTGAGAGTCACTGTTACTAGAAATATTTCTTCTTTTCCTTTTCACAGGTCGTCATGTCACCGACCTGCGCAGATTCCTTCATGCTGCTGACCACAAATGCCCAAACCAGCCGGGCGGTGAGTGATGAGCTTGTCTACCACAGTTTTCGACAGCTTTAAGAAATGCAGGATGGGGCAGGTCCCGGTATATTATTGGTATCGCCCCGCAGTCATTGAGGTCAAGGCGTCTGCCGACCACGTCACCGAGGGACTAGTCGCAAAGCAAGAAGCATGGACCTAACAAGACACGCTCTGTATTTTTGAAGGGACTCTGACTGGCTATTTACGCTCGCCGAGGTTTTTTTAATTGGAACATGACTTTTAAGAACCTAACTACACAGAACACAATTTGCGGCTTGAAATTCGTTTGCTTTTCACTCTGAAAACAGTCGGTCGAGAATCGGCCGGTTTCGGTCGCTCTCTCTTTTATGGTGAAGTGGCGTTCAAACTGTGTGCACCAAATATGTTCGATGTCGTGGGTCATCCAAGGTGGTGTTCTCAAACTTTACTCATATTAGTGCAAAGTTTGAAATTGCTTTTTCTGCAACACCAACTAAATCTATGGCTCAGTCCGTGGAAGGTTAAAGGGCAACTCCGGCCGAAACTCAAAATGAAATAAATTACTGGTATTGCTGTAGTGACACAAAATACGACCCCAGCCAAAATATTACGTCCGTGGGACGCCGCATTCTCAACTAATGCTGATAATAAAAATGCGACCCGCCGCGAGCCACTACTCCTTAGCGGGCGGACAGCGAATTTCCGATCGCTAAAGCAACATTGGGCCGTGACGGCAGAATCGTTCTCTTTTTTTCCTCCGGTCCGGGCGTTGCGCGGAGTGCGCTTGTTTGAGCCGCTACCACTGCTACTTTGGCTTGTGATTGGCGTGTTTAGCCATTGCTTTTATCTGTAGCCCGTGTAGCTTCGGTATGGCCTTTTGTTTATTTGCTTGTGAGGACTCCAAGACATTTTTTAGCGAGCGACTCGGTGCACCCAATACTGCCCAGCTGTTCCTCGAAAGATGCCGAGTGCAACTTGTAGCACTGTGGGCTGCTCAAACAACATGCCGCGCCACACGGAGGTGCTTTTTCACAAGTTTCCAACGCACCGGAAATTGGAGAAGGTGTGGATGAACGCTGCTTGACGAGTGGACTTTGAACTTCGGCTTTTACGCGCCAGAAGAAAAAAAACCCCAAAAAACAGACTTGTACAGCCCAGCACACGTGTGTTCGGGCGCCGCGGCCTGCGCCGGAGAGCCTCAAAGCTTCGTGTCTGGGACTGACCCGCAGCGCAAAAGTGAGAGGGCCCCCAGTACTGTACGTCACAGGCAGCACGGCATAGAGCAACGCCGCTCCATCTGCGGAGCCCCGATGACAATTTAGGCCTAGCGACGAGTACGGAAGACCGCACACACGGCGACAGCCGCCAAGTACGGCACCGAACGAGTTCACTCGTTTTCCAGTCGCTAGCTTTTGGGTATACAAGCGACGAGTACGGCATAGCGCATGCACGGCGGTGGGTGCCGAGTATGGCACTGTACAAGTTCACGGGTTTTCCAGTTGCTAGCTTTTGGGTATACGCAGTTAACTCTTGCTACATATGCTGGATAACTACCACGTATACAGAATTAAAACAAAATCAGCTTGCCTCCTATCTTTAGACGGCTAGCGCAAACAGAGGTAGGTGCCACTCGGTCTGAGTACTCGTTCAACGAGAACGATCCTGACGTCACGTTCACATAGCGGCTGATTTCCAGTGTTGCCGGGGCCTCGAGCGGCTAGTTTTGGTTTTGTTGGCAGCGCCCCAAACAAAACTTTGAGGCGTCGATATCTTTAAAACTGCGCGCATTAACGAGAAAAAAATTACACCTTGCAATTCAGGGACGCTGACTGCCCTAATAACAGTCATAATACCAAAATTGAAAGTATGGACCGGAGTTGCCCTTTAAACTAGAGAGACTGCGATCTGCGTGCTCGCAAAACCCACGAGACCAACTCGTGGAACCCAGTCTGAGAACCCCTGATCTAAGGCACAAATTTAATGGTAAATAACCCTCAGCCTTTCCGCTCTGGTGAAGAAAAACGAGCAGTGGAGCTCTAGCCTCTGTTCTCGGTGGTGGCTTTCCAGGCGAGCGATCTGCTCTTCTTTTGCAAGGGAATCTTAAGCGCTCGACGCAGTGGAACTTTAGACGATAGCGGCCTCGCGGCGGTTGCGGAACCATTCACGCTGCTGCGCACGTCGCCACTCGTTCCGTTCCCACTCTTCTTCCTCCGAAGGAATGTTGCCGCCACCTATGAGCGACGGCAGCTACGAGTTGTCTGGTTGCCTTGGCTGGAAAGGTTGCCGCGATCAATGAGCGACGGCGGCAAGCAGACAAGTGGCAAACACAACACTCTGGACAGCTACCGCCATCTATGAGTGAAGGCGGCAACCAGAGTGGTGTGTCGACACTTGTTTGGTACCTGACACGATCCTGAAGAAACCAACCCTTAACAGCTCCGCTGTAAAAAAAAAAAAAAAGTCAATCGGAAAAAAAAGAAAATATTGCACAGATTACAGGAGGCGTGTGTGCTCGTCATTCTCATTGTGGCGATGTACCGCGGGCTGGACAACGCAGTGGTGGTGCACGACAAACCTACGTTGTGAAGGACGTGGGGCGCACTTCGGAGCCGTCGTTAGTAGTGCCGGCCAATCGATCTTCAAGCGCAGAACGTGTCGAGTGGAAGGTATAGAAGTGCGAAACGATCGCACGACAGACAGTGCACGCAACTTCGTCACATGCTTCGCATGCCTGAGGGTCGGAGAAGAAAAACCGCGGTCGGGTCTATCCACGGGACTTGCAGCCACGAGTTTGCGTGCTCGTGTTTAATTTTCGAGCAGTTTAGTTGTTTTTTTTTTTGCTTAATTATGCGTGATATACGTGACTCTGCAGAAAAATATTGCTTGGGTAGTCTCCTCATACCGTATTCAATCGCCTGGCTAAATATTTAAAAAAAAAAACATTTTTGGGGTGTTTCAGTGTCTCTTGAAGCATTCACTGACTATGGTCTTTCTTGTTTGGCACCTGGAGATCACATTTCACCCGCGTCGTTTGTGCAGGAGCTGCGATCGGTGCACCGGGATGCCGCCTCGACAGAGAGAACCGGTGCAGACAAGTCCAGCTCCAGTCTTTCAACACTGCACTCCTTGGTGGAAGAGTTTGTCAGCACGTGCAGTTTCCACCTCTGGGCAGGCCTGCTGTGCTGATGCATTGTTCGAGGTCTCCAAACTGAACACCCGTCAAAGCTCTTGACCGAGTCAAAAACGACGTGTCTGTGGCTGTTTGTATTTCTGTGACACCCAGTGACCTGTGCGTTTGTGCGATGGAACTGCAACGATCATCAGGGGAGTGGTGGGAAGAAATCACTCATAGTGAATGCGACTGGTTAATTTACATTTTGATTTGCGCTACACATTTGTCACCCTCCGACATCCCGTGCCATTGCTTGTAAGCAAGCAAAAAGTCGGGGATGTGTTGCATGGGGTCATTTTTACGAGTTTCTTTAAGGGATATGTTTTACATGGATTCTGAAGAAACAAGTTGCCGGATTTAAGTGGCAGTGCAATAGTGTTGTATATAGAAAGGATCATGTTAAAAGTGTACAGGATTTGTTGTGTGTGTGCATCTTTTCCAGCGAGTTTTGAAGTGTATTATAAATAAAAACGTTGCAAGGAACCCTAGATGCCTCCTGTTTAATTCACGAACTAAATAAAAAAAAAAAAAGATTGCATATAAGTTTAATTATTTCGTCATCAGAAGAGAAAAAAAAAAAAAAAAGTAACATTGATGAATCCAGTGGATGAATCGAGGTAATTATTGCGCCCGTGGCAACAACAAATGGCGAGAGGTAAAATCCGTGCTCTTTTATATGCTTCCGTTCTTGCGCTAATTATTTTTTATTTTTAGAAAGCTGAACACCATGTCCCTCATATTATTTTTTTTTTTTTTTTATTATGAGGGTTTTATCGTGACAAAAGCTCCAATTACAGTTTCGTTTTGTCCGAGCCGACACCTAGGTGGCGACAGAGCTGGGCTGGCTGGGCTGCGATCATCTGATATAAGCATATAAGTTCTGCGGCTGTGAACTGCAGCTTGCGTAGACGAGATCGGGCTTGGTGCTTACGTGTTGTTAAGTGTTTTTGTTTTGCTTTTCCATGGATTGTTGAAGTGCCCGAGACGTATGAAAGATGTTCGTCAAGTGTACTAGGAACGCGTTCGCGCTGCTGGCGATTTCGGTCGCACTATGCTGCTCTGAGCCAGTCTCCCCAACGCCATCCGCTGAGGCGGACTCCTGCGAAGGTGCCTGCAACCGGACGTATCCGGAACACACGTACCCCGACGTAAGTACAGACGGCGCCGAAAGTTACGAGTACGTCCACACGCGACGACGAACCTCCGATATCAAACGTTGGGGCTGTTTCCGTTGTGTTTCAGTTGTCCTTGCTCGCACCTCAACGCTCGCGCTCACGCTCTTTATTTCCGATTTTCAAACGAGGTCATATGTGAACCTTTTCGTTTTGTTTTATGGTTTAAAACCGCGATGCCTTTTCGTGCCCACTAATTATCGACACGCACCGGTGACTACGCAGCTAGAACTAAACAGAAGAAATCTGAAAAAAGCACTGTCGTAACAAAGAGTGGTACGGAATCCACTGCACTTCTGCGACTTCTCGAAAACGGATTTAGTCACTACGGAGCGACGCAGCAAGCTGCAGAAACAGTCGGGTCTTTAAAAGAATTAAAAAAAGAAAAGATCGCTGGAAACATCTGTGTTCGCTTTCCGCTTTCTGTTGCAGGCGAAGCACCTCAACGCTTGCAAAAAAGGATGCAGTCTCTTCACAGAGTGCGGCTACAACGCCGTAGAAAACGACTGGAATGCCACACTCAAGGCCTGCCTTAATGGTAATCCCTTTGCTCAAGCTCTTTTTTTTTATTATTTATTTATTTTTATTTAGAAATACCGATGTTCGCGAGGATGTCGCTATAAAATGGGATCGCCTTGCCCGTACTGGCTGACACAGCTGGTGCATTTGTTTTTGTTCTTGTTTTGCAAACATAAGGTCACGTGAGCTTTGTTTTCACGAATAGTCGGTGCTTCCGCGCCTCAAAAAATGCGCGTAACATTTTTTTTTTTTGTAGTTCAGGGTTTAATGTGTATAAGGAATTTAACATTTTGTTAGAATTTTGGTAAGGGTAGAGGACAGTGAAGATCGTTTATGATGTGAACCTGCAGCTGCCATACATGTTCGACTGCGACTCATCGGTTAAACAGATGTTGCAGCCAATGGCAATGAACAAATACCGTTTCTGGGCATTGTTCTCGGGTTTGCTTGATAAGGCCGCGGGTCTTCCTTTTTTGGTTGTCGTTGGTTAAACCTTCGTACATGGAATTCTTTTTCTCCTGCAAGATAAGCCGGCACGAACATCAATAACAAAAAGTTTTGCTTTTATTTTAGAAGCCGGCAAAAGCTTTTTTTTACAATTTGGAGAGCCGTGAAGCTGCTAAATATTTTTCAGAAAAGCAAAATAAATTGAAACTTTGCTTTGTTAAAATGAAAAAAAAAAAAAAAAATAGAAGCCTGTTCTGGGCAATCTACGCCGCCACTTCGCAGACAATGCACACAGTGCTGCATAAATTGCCCAGAACAGGTTTGTTTTTGTTTTTTTGAACGGCGCAAATGCGTTCCTTGATTTTTTTTTTTTTTTACTGTAATATTACAGTGCAGTACACTGAGAACTCGGTTTTTATGGGCCGTCTAAAGTGTCTTAAAAGGATTAGTTCACATGCTCTGGTAGAAAGCAAATAGTAATAAAATAATTATTACATGACAATACATGGCTTGTGCATGACTTCATCTTGCCATACCAGTGGTCAGTCCTACTTGTTCTAGCTGAGAACAACAAATTCCGTAATACGAATTATGTGCTGTAGAAGGTATGCATGCAGCAGCAGGTTTCTTCACAATGGCTGTTGACGTGACATCAGTGCAAGCTATGTACAGAAAAGGAGTCCCCAAAAATATTTTTTTTTTTTTTACAACCCAAAAATAAACTATGCGTCTCCAGACACTTGGTCTCCAAGCAAATGTAGTGCCAGAGGTCTGGACCAGATGCCAAAGTTCTGGAGCTTTCCGTCACTTGGTTCAAAAGTCTATTTTTGGAAATTTTCAATGGTGAAACGGCGGCCGACGAGCTGAATGGCGTCTGCTACTGGAAACAGGCTCTGTTTTCGCATTGGAACTTACAAAATATCACTTGTTAATTTTTTTTTTTTTTGGGGGGGGGGGGGGGTTGTGTTGTTTATTAGTATTGTTGTAAAAACTTAGCTAGAAACATACTAAGGCTATCCAGCTCAGATGTGCGAGAGCCAATCTGTCTGGTAGCTGAAGTGCAAACTACAGAAATTGGGTTTGGGAACTGTAAAAGCGTAGAAATCTGGGCAAGTCGGTGGTGAAACGTGCGATAGGAGTCGCACATATTTTATACGATAGCAGCATTGCTGCACATAGCATTGAGACTGCCTCCACATGTTGAATTGGTGGATGGATAAGTTAGTGCCACGTTGAGCCTGAGTCATCATAATGTTTCATTGCCTCGCAGCAAATTGCGTGATAAACTTCCGAGAAAAAAATAAGAGCTATCATGTTTTGTGCGAAGCATACAAAGGGCAGTTGCCGATGGCTTGGCTACGAACAGATGTTCGGATGTAAATTTTACTCTGTGGTTAACATTTGGTTTTGCAGCTGTATGCGCTGCAGCACTGGTTCCGTCTGGTATCACGGTCCCAGCTGTGGCGAACTAGGATGGAAGCTTGCTTTCCATGCATTTAAATTTGTGATCTCGTAGCCTTGCCAAGACAAAAGCGGTCCTGGATTGTCGAAGGTTCGCGAAACATGTATCCGACATTGGATCCCATGACTTTGGCTTATTTCTTTATTTTGGCTTCGACTCAATATTGTCAAAGGCAAACCTTTGTGCTTAGTCGCTGCTGAAGTGGTTGCTCGTTCGAAAGCTACAGCTTAAGACTATCGTCTGCCTTTTCATTTGTCGTCTTTTGCCGCTGTGGCAGGTCGTAGGGTCACCTCCGTTGTGTTGCACAACATTCGCTTATGGGTGATTCCACGAGAGATTGAACCTGCATGTCCACTCAACTTTTTTATTTTTTCTGTTTCTTTTTTTTGTTAATGTGATGCACACACAAATGAATCACACAGAACAACTTTATATGTCAAAAAAGCGTTTTCACTACGAGAAAAAAAAAATGTTTTAAGATAGTACGATGACCCCGCTCCCACCGCGGACTGCAGTAGTTGCTAACTTTGCGGTCCTGTGAAAGGCAGGCGAAACCTAGTACGCCAAAAATGTTTCCCGTTTCATATGATGCACTAAAGTTTAAGTGAACTGCATGCAGTTTTCATGTGCTCTATAAACTAAAAAAAAAAAAAAAAATTCCAAACTTTAGATTAGGTGAAACAAATACACCAACTTTGAGGCCTTCTACCTTAATACGTATGCCATTAACGATAACCCTTATGTCCCAGCGACACGTGGAGGCCTCCATTTTGTTGCGCAAAGCTATGTGGCCTTTGTCGGCGACAGATGCGCTTTTGAAATAATGCTCATTGTGTTTTAGATCTGGCTTACTTCGTTGCAAGCTGTTTTAGCAAGTCTGGAATCAAAAGGTCCTCCTGCCGTGCCTCGTGCCGGTGACAGTTGGCAACATTGATCCTAGACAACAATGACATATCAACCCTGTCGCCCAGTGGTCCCGGTGCTGGGGTAACGCTGACAAGGTTTTATCAGAGGAATATTGGTGACTCCCTGGACGGGGCAAAGGGCTGATGTTTTCATTTTTTTGCCCCGATACCCTCAAGGTCATCCTGGTGATATTCTACACCGCCTGGTGATAGTTACAAAAATTAAAATGGTAAGCAAAGTGGCTTAGGAGGGTGAAGGGAGGAGCCATACTTTTCGGTTTTAGTTTCTAGGCTAGGTGGCGCAAGCAACCGCCCGTTGTAAAGGGTACCGCCGTTTGCATCTATCCATCGATACTGGCCACCAGCAAACCGAAAGTCGACCCTAAGGTCACCAACATGGATACCGCACAAAAACCATGGCAAGCCATTAGCAACTTCAGACTTGCCGTAAAATACCGCAAAGCGCCCACCATTAGCATTTCCCGAATTTGGGAATTCTGCAAATTATGCGTTAAGCACCCACTCCCTCCAAAATAACTCCATTGTGGCAGCCGCAAGACCGCCAGTTGCTTTGATGGGGATATCATGTGAAAATAAATGTGCTTTCTTTGATTCCGTTCACCCTGCCTTCAAAGCTCTTTATTGGCCGCCATTTTGGTTTTTACTGACTTGACCGGATAAGCGCCCATGTCTAGATTCGTCCAGTTGCCAGTGAAAGTGGGGTGGGCACTTGCTCGGTATTTTATTGTAATCCAAGGCACACAAAGGACAAGGTGGATACAGCTTATCATAACAAGATGGGGGAACTTTCTGGACAAATGGAGAGTAACCAAATCGATAATGTGCTTGGGGACACTGACAGCCCTCCCAAAAATATTTTTTTTTTTATTTTTTTGTTATGCAATTTATTATGGTGCTGGGCTACCCAATCAATATTTTTCTGGAGTCACATATATTTTTAATAAAGTAAGAAAATGCAACTGCTCAAAACTGAAACATGAGCACAGATAAAGGGGCACTAAAGAGGATTCTGCGATCGTCTCTTCTTTATCATAACTGATTCTACGGCCCTAAGCATCTCACAAATTCGAAAATTGCAATGGTGCAACGCCGATTTTTTTGTTTAAAAACACAGTGAAAGGTTGGGACACACCCCTTTCTGAGCAGAATTTTCCACTCGGGAAATGCAGGCCATACCCCAGCAGCGGTGTCGGCACCTTGACAATAAGTGCTCGACAGCCAATCACAAGCCGCCTCTCCGAAAGATGCGGCTTGCGATTGGCCAACGAGTGCCCGTAGTCGCCAAGCTGACACCGCTGCTGGGGTATGCCCCGCCCTTCCTGAGCTGAAATTTCTACTCAGAAAGGGTTGTGTCTCAACCTTTCATCACATTTTTAATAAGGAAATCGGCATCATGTGATTGTAATTTTTTAATTTCTAGGATGCCTAGAGCCCGTAGAATCGGATATGACCAAGAACAGACGATCGCAGAATCTTTTTTAGTGCCCCCCTTAATAGCTGCGACATGTGGACTGGGGGAAGAGGGAGAAAGTTGCCGGAAGTCACATGGCAACACCCGACTGCATTTTTTTTTTTTTTTTTTCTTGTGTGAAGCAGGCGAAAAACATGCAACTGTCAGGCACTTTGTGCTTGATGTCTTTGCATTGGTAGCAGCAATTTGGGTCAGTGTTTAGCACTTCAAAAACAAAAAAAGTGATGGAGATAATGAGTGCAAACCAGCATTTATTTTCTCCGAAATGTCACACGAACGTCGACGGAAAAACATAAAATTGCAACAACTCTTCCATCGAAGCTAGCCGCTTGGCGGGTTCGCCGGAGTCGTACCAAGCGACTCCGGTGAATCTGTTGGGATATTTGATGGAAGCGATGCACTGGACATACCACAGCGACGTTTTTCCGACAGATGGCCAGTGTGCTATCATCATAGCTAGCCTTTCAAATTAACCCAAGAGACTGACACCGAAGACAGCCTATGTATGATGCCTAAATTATGCAATTCACGCATTTGAAATTATAGCTCAGTTTACTGAGCTTATACAAACAATCCGGGATTCAGTGCCATTTCACCGCGTACCACAACTATCGTTTACAAGCTGAGACAGCCCAGTTTTTGAAAATTTCTGGCCGGCCAAATAGTTTAGATATGTTCCACTGGGTTTGTTGTTCCCGTACGTTCAACAACGCTCGTTTCAATCGGGAATGGCTGCCGGCGCGTACGACTAGCAGATGATTCTATATAGCACGCACATTAGGTTATCCTTAATTCTAAATAACCCTACATTTGGCGCGTCGTCGAGCTTTCAGCTTTTGTTTGTGTGCCACCACAACCGGCTAGTTAGGCCTAAAGGGTGAACGAGCCTCGGGTGTAGCACGTTCTTGAAGCCGTCCACGTCCACGCACACACTCGTCCAGTGGAGCACACAAACGTTAATTATACACACAAACTTGAGAACAGCACACGGCAAGAATGGCAGGTTCAGGTCGCAGAAGTGAGCGTTTTGCACGCTCCGACCAGCCCTAACGTCCGGGTTCCCGCATGGTTTTCTCGTGCAAGTGCTTCTGGGGTAACCACCGTCGTCAATGTGCGCTTGTCGACAACGCGAATGGAGAATGTTCCATTCCGTTGTGAACATCGCATTGCTCCCGATGACGGAGTACATACCCTGTTCGCAGCCAGCATTGGCCAACGCGATCGGGTGTGCTTGTCGAAGTTATGAAGTATAAACAACCCTTTAGTCCGCTTCGTCAAGCCTGCAATTCCAGTGATATGATGCCATGTTCAGAATTATGCAGTACACATACTTCCAATACTCTCTGCAACTTCTTTTTTTTTTTTTTTTTTTACAGCAGAGTTGGTAAGGGTTAGTTTCCCCAGGGTCGTGTATGCCAGCAAATAAATGTCGACACGACACTCCAGACAGCTACCGCCATCTATGAGCGACGGCGGCAACCAGACATTTGGCTTGCCGGTTGTCTGGTTGCTGCCATTGCTCATAGGTGGTGGCAACCTTTCCAGCCTTTCCACTCTGGCTTGCCGACTTGCGGCCTACCATTACTTCATTCCCATCATAGTACAGCTTCGCTGGTCTTCCTTCTTCACCGGAGTGGAAAGGCTGAAAGTCTCTTTTATTATTCTTCAATCGACATATTTGCGGCTTTTTAGAAGCCACAAAAAATGGGTTTTATATTCTTTTCTAATTTTAATATTGACTGTGTGCCTTCGATGACTCACGACTTTGATCATATTTGGTACGCGAGTCTGAACGGCACACGATCGTGAGGAAAAGAGCGAGCGCAACTCAAACCAGCCAGTTCTCGATCGGCGGTTTTCAGGAGGAAAAACATTTGAACCGCAAATTGTGTTTTGTGTAGCTGGGTTCTCGTATGTCATGTACAAGTAAAAACCTTGGCGAGCATAAATACCCTGTCAGTGTCCCGGTAAGGACTAATATGACCTAGTGTCCTAGTGTGTCCTGGATTTCGTGTCCCTGGTTCTTCCTGTGCCCCTGGCTTGAAGTTGCCATTGGCTTGCATTCCACATTGGTTACCTTTGCACTTAACTGCAGTATGTTTGTAATTATTTTTCCACTCTCTGTTATACCTGTAATTGCATTCCAGGTCTCTGTTCAGTATGGTTTCAGACCTTGGTTGGTAACATACTGTCATTGGAAAACAAGAAGACAAGCTAATGCATCAATTCTTTCTTGCTTTTGTGGCCATGACATTGTTAGAAGAGCCTCAGCCTTGGAACTGTTTCGCTAGCCACGGAAATGTCAACTTGCATGTGGCACATGAAACGTTGCATTGTTGCAGTTCGAACAATTGGATCAGATGTTTCCGGCACCAAAGAGCATCCTCTACATACGCAGTAGCCAGTCCTGCTTCAGCGAGAAATTGGATAATATTAGTACCCATACGAAAGTTATGAAGTTACCTGCACAAAGTTACAAAGTTATCTGTACAATGTTGCCAAAAATGTAACAGAGCTACCAAGTTACCCCTAAGTAAGTTACAGTTACCTATATGCAGACTTGTATGGTACTCATTACAAGTAATCAAATTATTCGTAATCAATTATTTTTTTAAGTAATAAAATGTCTGGAGTTGTAACCATTACTACTTTTTCAAACCCCATCCAATTTCCTGGCTTACGACGACTCTTAAACTTGGTCGCAACATTCCAAGCTAAAAATGGCTGCGGCATGTTCACATTATCAGCTTCTAAATGCTGGGAACCATAACGAATAAAACCATTGTTTTCGATCACTCTACGAATGGAAGTCGGGCTCTTTGTCCGGACAGTTCATGGAGTAGTTTGTCGGGTTACGAGTTGGGACTGTCAGGTTTTGAGTTCTCTAGAAAAGCCTTTCAGTGGGAAGTTTGGTGGTTAATGTAGAAACTTCGTCTTTATTAACTGTTCAATCCGAATCGTGCTCAAAGCAATCTACACTCGTCTGCCCCCAAGATAAGTAAATCCAGATAGTGTAAACGCTAAGGTGCGACAGAACATGTAAGCTCTTTGTCACATGCAAATTAAGTGTTTGGCATTCCACAAGACTGCACTTCTTTTGGCAGAAGTGGCGCCAGAAAGAGGGAGATGGTACTAACTTGAAGGCGAAAAACAAGCCACAATGAGTGCAAAATCAATGTCTCCGGAGCTGAATCTAAGTCGCAGTAGAGCTCACAGGATCTAGCATCCTCACTTCAAAAAATATTTGCGCTCGCTCCATGCCACGCCACCGTATAAAAAAGCCTCTATCCGGGAATCTGGAAAGGGTAGATAGAGACGATGAGCAGCCGGTGACTTTTACAATAGGCCCGTTATCAAACCTGGAAGAAACTCGTCAATGAGCTTTATGTGATATATTGGAATGGATCTCGTACTCACATTTATTTATATGTTTAGTTTTATCCAGATAGTTTTTGTTTTGTTTTTGAGATGTGAGCAATTTTATTTTTACAGAGTTCCTCGTTGTTTTAAGTGATAATGGCACGAAGCTTCTAAAGTAATTGAAAAAGTAATGATTATTTTTTAAGTAATGTCCAATTACTTTTTCTTCTAAGTAATCAAGTAATCTAATTGTTATGGCCACTCATGTCAGGTGATTGATTGCGTGGTAACTGGTTTTGAAGTTGGCAAGAATGAGGTTGACTACCACGAGATCGCAAATAGTTTCCTCCTGAAATGCCAAAAGGTGCCTTTTGTAGGCACTGAGGTTTTGAAATGCTTCATAAAATTGAGCCTTTTTTTAAATTTAATTTTATTGTTTGTTCGCAGAGTGTTCGACAGCCTACCCAGACAGTAACATCCACTATGCCTGCAACGGCGGGTGCCAGACGCAGTTCGACAAGGCCTGCAAGGAGAAGGACCAGAAGGTATGCGTGCAAATGCACTACTTGGCATAAGAGCAGCACTCGCCGATGTAGCCACAAGCCTTCAGCAAGCGCCGCTCATATACGGGCCAAGAATGAAGACGCGATACACACTGCTTAGAGACGCGTTGCAGGTATCGTACTTGTTCTAATTTGGAGAGCTTCGACCTTTAAAATCGAGAGTTTGAAATAAGCGATCCTTTGGGCTGCGGAGCGGCGACAGCAGCGCATATGTCAGTGAAGGCCTAAAAAGCTCGCAGCCCTCTTGGAGACACCGAGATAGTCCGAAAAAAATAAAATACTTTAGTGAAAAGATGTTGCAGAGGCCTTTCAGCGCCGTGAGCGATGCAGCTGAAGTGAGAGGACTGTAGACATGCGACGCAGAGGCGTGGCCTTGACAAAGACCCCACGACCCGGCTGAACCGAGAGGCAAAATAGACTCGGCAGCTGCCCTTTTTTAAACTTCCTTTCGATGCCGAATGTTGAGGTGGCTACAATAAGAAAGTATTTTATGTTTTAAAAACCTTATAGATAGGTAACGTACGGGAAAGAACGAAATGTTTATTGTAGCTCTCAAAATTTGTTGCACCAAGACTTCGAAGTTCATTTCATGGGCTGAATCGCTGCTCAAATGTGGCTTTGCATGAAGTTGGGTGTTCCTGTGTCGGGCCTGCCAATGTGACAGGATAGTCGTTCGCTTGCATGTCCTATGTCATCAGACTTTTCTTCACCGACGTTGCTCCTCGCCTTAGCTTGTCTCTCTCCCTCTCTCTTTCTTTCCAGGAGTCGGATGGATCTGGTCTCAGCCTCATCATGTTTGTCCAGCGGATCTACGAGACGGTGGTGTACCACTTCTGCCGCATTCTGCGGCGCACATTCCTTGCGGTCTACCTGCAGAAGGACACCGGGAACCTGGTTGTGGTGCGGGGCGAGATGAGACCCGTGGCTATTCTCGACCCTCATGCTGGTGCGTAGCAGAAAATGCAAAAAAAAGATTTGCTCCTTGCTCCGCAGACCGTTCAAATGATCGCCTTCTGCGTCCGTCTTTGTTTACTGGGCTCCGAAGCGTGCGTGCGCAATTACTTTCTTTGTCGAATGTGGGACACCGCACGTGCGTCCACAGCCGAGTGATTTGTCATTTTTTGCCCGGATGAGGAGCGCTGGAAAGGTATTAGTTCTCACCGGCTGTGTGCAGTGGTGCTGTCACTGGTGCGCAAATTCAAAATGTCTTGGCTGTGTGCAAGTACTAGCGCTAGGCACATGCTTCTTAAAGCCGTGCAAGCGTGCGCAGCTGCGCTCAACTACTGTCGGAACAGAGTATATCCACATCCCTGCTGTCGTTCGAAGGTGTGTCCGATTGTTTGGAGCGGTTAGAATTCAAATTACTTAGTCAGGCTTCCTCAGCAAATATACCATAGACCAGCGGCTGTGAGCTTGAAGCAATCATGAAAAAGGCAAAGATTTTTGTTTTTTAGAGGCTATAAACGACTCTGTTAATGTATCACAAATGCAAAAGCGCTGTTTTTTTTTTTTTTTTTTTTTTTTTTTTACATGGAAGTGGGAAAAAGTTTGAAATGTGTTTTTGCACTTGGAACAACACACCAAACACATATTAAAATACATTCATTTTTTTGTCACTGCCAAAAGTATAACAGAGAGGTAGTCAATAGCAATGGTAATCACTGCTCATGCAGCAATTATTGTTGCATACGATGCTTGAAACGATCCACCTACATAGGGAGTTCCACGATTGCCTTGATTTAGCAACATCATTAAAGGGGTGCAAAATCAAAATATATGGAAACCTTTTAGAAATGGGTGAAATATGACTTGTGATATCCGTAAACGACAATCGCACATTCGCATTTTGAGCGGATGGCTATATCCTTTGTTTCAAGCATCCGATTCTAGCAAGCACTTCGAAATCTGCCATCAAGGCGTACAGTGCGTCGTGGGAACTCTGTCACAGTGGTGACGTCGGGCTCCTCGGCACAGCAAAAGGCTAGCATGATCATGAGCGCTGCCACGCGGTGGCTTTTGCGTGTTACAATCTCGCGTTTTGGAGTGGCGGAGGACTGCGCTGCTGCACGACGGCCATTGTTATGTATTCATTTCGGCCTTTGTAGTTCGAGGTGCGTTTTACCGTGATCTACAAACTAGAGAGGACGAGGATTTCATCAATTGAGGGGACTCGGAAGATGTCAGTGAGGATGAGTAGTCACTCTCGCACATGGTGACGGACAGGCGATTCAGGCTAGAACCGTATGAACCAGCCGACAAAATCTGAAGGGGGTCAGGGTGGCCAAGAAGTGCCTCGCATTTAATAATGACTAGCCAGCCTGGAGGTATGCGCTATTAGGTGTTTTATTAACAGCATGCTCACTTGCCAGTTTGCTTCGCTTTTCGTGCGGTTTGCTGAGCTCTTCTGGCTTTTCTTTTCTTGGAAAAATGCAGTCTGCTCAACCCCTGGTAGCAGCCGAACATTCTCAGTAGGAAGACCCAGGCTCCTGAGGAGAGTGGGTCGCCTTTCATAATCCTCATCGCGAAAATCCTTACCATACAAGCAATCGGTCTTCACCGGCGCCCGAGAGACGACTGACACGCGAAACAGATTCACACGCTTCGAAATTTCTCATCGTTCGAAAACCATGGGCAGGCGTATGGCAGTTCAACACGCTGTTGACGCGGCCCTCTGCCGCGCAATAGCGTGACGTCCTGCACGGAAACGTGATGAATTAACACGGAAACGACTCGGTGGTACCAAAACAATCGCGCGCCCAGCTTAGCAGCGCAAATGCGTCATTGCGTTCATGGCTAGAGTATCTATATGAGTAAGTTGTATTGCCAAGGGTGGCACCACTGCGGGAGGAGCAAGACGTCACGATCCCCCAACAAAGCTTTGGCCCCCCAAATTACGAGATGCGAGTGGAAAATTGTTTTATTTGTTTTAAAATTACTTTTCTCGTGTTTACAAATAAGAGACTGATGTTGCGCAGGGGCTGATGCGAGGTGGTATTTAACTAAGCGATAAAATGAGCCCTATAATTTTGTTTCCGTACCCCTTTAAATTGCACCGTTGTTGGTTGCAGGAGCAACTATCAATCTCCACCTAAAGCGCTCGCAACCGTTCCAGTTGCGCCGTCGTTCCGCTGCCAAAGCGAAATTCGCTGGCTCTTGCTCTTCGTCCGTTGCCTTTTTGCGCCGTTTTACGTTAGGCTCTCGTGCCAACTAACCCAACTTTCCGTCTTTTGAAACGCGTCTCCACGTCCTTCCCAGGTGACTCTGAAGAGGAGCAGTCGGATCCGGAAACGTCTACGGCTGCGGTCCGCACACCAGAGCCGACGCCGGTGCTGAGTGCCAGCGGCAAGGACCAGGTAGCTGCCATCAGCCCGGAGGAGCCGACCACGATGTCATCGAGCTGGCTGGACTGCATCTCGCGCCAGTCGGGCATCCCGCAGTGGCTGCTCATGCTGGTCCTCTTCCTGGTGGTGGTCACCATGGTCTGGCTCTGCTGTGCCACCATGGTCCGCTCGCCCACGCCCCAGCAGCAGCCCCCACCCTACTCGGCACAGGTGGGTCTTTTTGTTCGGGGGAATGTGCTTGCATTGGTGACACGGCAAAAAGAAATTTAGATAGTAAAAAAAAAATACACAGGCTCGATGGTGCTGACAAAGGCCGGGGAGTATGTAACGTGTCTAGCACCCACCACGCTCCGTGTCTGGTTTGTGCTAGTTTTTGCATTGTGCACTGCTGATGTTGGTTTGGTGCGAGACCAGGCGAACGAGTGTGCTGCATCGGCGCTGCCTCGTACGGCTCTTGTGCGACATGTTTGAGGCGAGTGATTGCGCAGTACGACGTTGCACCGCTCTCGTTGGCACGATTTGCTGGGAGCGCTATGCTTCCAGAGTGGCTGTGCTAGGCGGCTCGGTGGCTATTACAGTATCTGACCAGCACCGCACAAACCCGGCTTCGAGCCCCGCTGGGGCTCAAACTTTGTACCTTTATATAGGACTTTTTGTAGCGCGACGCTCCCGGCGTGTCGCTCGTTTGCAACGGTAGTCTATGTCGATCGTTCGTGACACTCGTTCACGATGCTCATTCTTGACGACCGTTTGTAATGCTTGTTTGTGACAATTCTCATAGAAAACAACTCGTAAAACATGTCCTCCGCTAACCCTTTGACAGTCGAGATTTGTTTTTTTAGATATTTTTCCCAGTGTTCAGGTTTTGTTTGCAAAGGAATAGATACTATAAAAAAAGTCGGTGAACAAGTTCTTTTTTCTTGGTTGTCTAGTGGGAGCATGTACGGTGCTTGCGAGCTGTATAGGCTTAGAAGTATTAAATTAAAATATTGGAGAGCAAAAAGTTGTCTCCTCCCTTCCATTCCGTTTCATTTTGGCACTTCCGGTTCCAGAACATTCCAGTAGCTTTAGACTCCTAGTAGGAGGTACTCTACAAAGCGTCTTCATCAGATGATGAGCTCTCGTCTTCCGAATTGAATTCCTAAAAGCGTTGGGAAGTCTGAAACGGAAGAGCCAGAGTGGCCAGTATGCCAAGTGAGCATCATGTGTGAGGATTATTCGATTAGAAAGCTACAAATAGCTCGGCAAAGCAAAACACTCTTAAAATATAATGTTTATAGTTCGCCAAAGGCGGAACAAATGGCCACACCTCTTGCGGTGCAGGCAGTTTCACGTTTAGGCAGGCACCTTCAGATGTGTAATCTCTGACGTACATGTACGGCACCGACCGACAAAGGGTTAAAGGCAAGTGTGTTGTGTGTTTGTCTAGACAGAAGGAAGTTGGTAAACGTCTGGCATGTCCACTATAGATGAAAAATATAGCCAGTGCACTACCACTGTTTGGCCTGGGGTCTTTAAGGCGCATCATGCAGTAGTGATGCACGACCACGCGCCTGTACGACGCCCATGCTGATCGAAACTGGCAGACTCCCCACGACTGCAGACTTTGTTTTTTGTTTTCTTTAGAAACTATGGTACTTCGAAGCGCAAACAATTTTCGGTGGCGTCTTCGTTGCTTTCGTAAGCGAGTGTTCTGCACATAAAAGTTATTTTTGAGGTGTGTTTCACCAATACCACCTAAAACACAAGGCCTGCGTGTTTCCTCCTCCAAACGTCATCACTAGTAGATCCCCTCAGCGCCCCCTAAAAGTCAAATTTGGGGGTTTTACGTGCCAAACCTACGACGGGCATCTGGCACGCCCCAGCGGAGGACTGAGGATTAATTTCGACCACCTGGGGATCTTTTGACGTGCAACCGAAAGCTCGGTTACACGGCGCCTTCTCCGCAATAAGCCTCCGTCATATTGCGGGCACCTCGGTCGGGATTCGAACCCGCCACCTGGGGATCCGTAGGCCTGCGCTCTCGCCTCGGAGCCACCGAGGCGGCTTCAGCGCTCCCTAGGTAGCCCGGATGAGCTCCATCGCCTGCTCCATCGCCTGCTCCATCGCCTGCTCCATCGCCTGCTCCATCGCCTGCTCCATCGCCTGCTCCATCGCCTGCTCCATCGCCTGCTCCATCGCCTGCTCCATCGCCTGCTTCAGTGGTCGTGCTCAGAACAAGCTTACATTGCTAAGATCGGCAATCTTGATGGTGTCGCACGCACGTTGCACGTGAGCTGTGGTAGCTCGTTATTAGCTCGCGCTAAGCAGTCGCGCACGCAGCTGTGGCCGCCAGTAAAGGCGGCGTAATTCCTCCGGAAACCCACGAGAGCGGTGGCGAATGCCGATAAAGGACTCGGAGTCTACGTATGCAGACACTTTGCGAGCCCCGTTTCGTCACCCGAACAGCTGGAACAATTCATTACGGTCAGTCCGCTTGCAAAGCGGAATCCACTGATCGGTACTGCAACGACAATCAAATAACGAAGCACGCATGAACAAAAGTAGGGCAGTCTATTTAGCAGTCTCAATCGCCACTCAGGGGATCACACGAGTTTGGAGCGCATCTGGAAAGCGGAAGAAAGGCGTTTAGCTGCTCCAACTACGTCGTAAGAGGTTACTGTTGATCTGTTGCAGACTGCATTGTCGCAGTTTTTTACCTAAATAAGTGGTCATTAAAACGTGCACAAACAACATGTTAAGATTACCAGAGCAAGCGAACTAGCCGCTGCAGCAGAACAAAAACAAGAAAGTAACGAGAAAATGACCGTGCAAACATTTTCCGAACTTTGCAGGAAAGATGGGGTCTTCTTCTCGGACGAAAATAAAGAAAAATGGTGAACGGGTAGCAAACAACGGCGAATAAAACAAAACTTTAGCAGACGATGGAAAGATACAAATCACCCAGCCAAAAACTCCTTCTACGACAACGTTCATTGCGGCACATGGGGGGAAAAAATGAAAAGCAGCAGCTTAAAAAAAAGGAGCTTCTCTTCTTTTTTTTTTGTTTGTTTTAGCTTAATTTTAATGCTGCAGCAACTTAATTACTCACGTTTGTTCGGTCTTCGGGAAGCGGAAAAAGGGCTTTCTAACACATCGCAAAAACTTGTTTTTCCAGTGGTAGGCACCACATGACACGCCTGCCATCTCCAAGTATGCGCTGGTGTATGCCCGAAGGCAGCCGGTTGATCAACAAACGATAACCCATAGCAGATGTTCCGGCGCAGACAAATAAAATTCGAATATAAATGTGTAAGGAGCTTGCACATTTTAATATATTTAATAAATACCAAAAAGCACATATGAAGATTTTGATTCAGAAAATCAATCGAAGGCAAAAATAGGAGGTTATCGCAGTCCCAAAATTGCAACCTGAAAACCCTAACATCTTTCCCACGCGAAGAAGATGTCCTTCACTTGTGAGGAGGCACCAATTTTTTAACATTCAAAGTAACGAATACCCATGACAATTTTTTTTTCATTGGTCATCTCGCACGGAAATGGGCAAAACCAATGAGTAGCGGAGAATTCGTCTGCTAGCGGAGGCTTCGAGCTTATTAGGAACACTGCGAGCACTTTTTGCCCGCGCTCTGCGGGGCCCCTACTCTCGTCAAGCTCCGGGGTGTTTGCCGCTTGTGGCGGGTCGAGGATCTACTAACGAAACGTCATGCGCAGGCCTTGTCTTCTAGGTGGTATTAATTTAACCCCTTAAGTGCCACTTTTTTTTTTTTCTTAAAGTACCCAAAAAGTGCCATATTTTTTTTATTTAGAAGTTTTATTCCTCTAGTATTACAGATGAAATTTAAAAAGTTCATTACGCAAAAATCAGCGGCGGCGAAAAAAAATTTGCTAGCTAAAACGAGTGCTGCCATCTATGATCAGCACCGCAAATTACTCAGACAAACCTAGCTCGTCTGAGGAATTGATAGCTACCGAAAAAACCACTAGACAAGCTGAGCTCATCCATGGCATTTTTAGCCAGAAAGCAGCCGACGAGCTCGGCTCATCCAAGGCACTTAAAGGGTTAATGTCTTGAGACTGTTCAAAAACTTGCCTTTCTGTGTGTGTGCTTTTTTTTTTTTAATTTTTAATATTATTCTTCAGAAAATGGGAGTCAACGGAGACCTCGACTACCTCCTGATGTACGACCCGTCGGAGCAGATCAAGATCCAGCCGCCACAGGATCAAGAGGCCCCGCCCCTCCCGGTCAAGATACCGCTGAACCAGATATGAACATGACTGGCCGTTCGTCTCGAAACGCGCCCCCTGTTCCGACCATTTGCAATACCCCGATTTTTTCCAGAACCGCTCTTTTGGCCCCTGCCACCCCCTCACCGGCAAACAGGACAGCCAATGACGCTCTCCATTTTTTTTTTCGCTTCTCATGTTTAGTATTGCAGCACTCGAAAACCGTTGCAGTGGAATTTCCCGGGAGCAGTCCAGAGTGTTCACTCGCACCTGCTGACAGATAAATTAGTCCTGTGCAAGCAGGTTGCTTGGCAGTGCAGTTAGCTTGGTGCAGTATGGGCACTTGTTGCTGATGGGACGCGCGATTATCATCAACTTTTTGGATCGACATTTGTCACAGGGCAGATTGGATGAAAAGAGCTTAGAAATAATTACATAAATTACTTTTTTTTTTTATTTGACTGTTTCGGTAGATGTGGACTACTCCCCAGACATTCAAAAGTGCCATAGAAGTTATTTGGACGTTACTCTACTCATAATGTTTTTAGTTTTTCTAAATATACTAAATAATGTTTAAAAATCTCTTTTTTTTTAATGCTCTGACTAAAACTTGGAACATGTGTGGCCTGTAGCATGCTAGTTCTAGATTGTTGCCTTTCAATGACAGAGCAGTTTTGCCATCTTAAGGACTCGTTAAAACTTGCATTTTAATGATCTCATGTGACATTCCACAGGATGAACTTAGCGAACGATAGCTCAAATTGCCTTGGTGTTCTTTTACTGCGGATGACTCGGCACATACTGTTGCCTGCATTCGTACACACATGGCTTATTGGAATATATGTCATATCAAAATCAACTTCGTTCAGAGTAAAGCTAGCTTACTATAGATGAATGCACGGCATATGGTAGTGGTGCCTTTTAGCAGATTAGGTATGAATTACGTCGGGCTGCAATGTGGACAGTCACTTCATTGCCTGTTTGCACCTGCAAGCACATGCCAAGATTAGGGAAGTTAGCGCTGCTGCCGTGAATGGTTTTTGCGAGCAGCTGATCCTGCACTTCTAGTGCATTCACCGCGAACGAAGTACATAAACACATTTTGAAGGCCGGCCCATTGAATCCACGTCATTGGCAACACAGCCTTGCATCGCTGCGGCATGGATGTAATCGAAGCATCCATTTGTATAATGCACGATGACTGACTCAAATGTAGCACTTCAGGACTTTTTTCTTTTTTATCTTGGTTTGCTTTTATTTTTGATTTTTTTGTCTCTCTTTTTGTGCACATATGTGCTTGTGCAGTAACTTCAAAATATGAAGAAAGAAAAGTCTAAAAAAGTGTGCCCAGTTTAGGTTTGGGGATTTTAAGTTGTTGTGCTTGCTTTCAAAGCACCTTTTGCTGTGTGTGCTGTTTTGTAAAGTGAGTGTTTTGGTTTAGGGTATTGCCCTTCTTTTCTTTTTATTAGCTTTGTGTCGGTGGAAGTTTCCTTCGCTCCATAAGCAGAAAGTACTGCGCCGCTCTTGCCATCTAGTCGAGAGATGTTTAATGGCAGAGAAAGGCACTCTGCTTCGATGCCCAACAATGCATAGGTCCCCGTCTCGTGACACTGTAACCAGGCTTACTTCTGTGCGCATCTTCAGAAAGCATTGTTCCCAACGAGATCTTCTCCGGTCATCAGCAGAGAACTCTGCTGACTTGGTGCAGGATTTGCCATTTCTTGCAATCGCCCAGCAAAGCACTTTGCAGCGAGTTTAGCAATAGGGAATGTATAGTGGTGTTTAATTTCAGTTTCTTAGTAGGTTTGCCTAGGCAAAGTTTTTCTCTTATTTAATCCAGCAATACAGTAGTCAGCATTGAACCTAAATAAAGGTGTAACGACATTAGCACTTTCAATACACTTTGTACAGATGCTGTGCTTTCTGCTTTCTTTTTTTTTTTTTTTTTTTTTAAGGATATTTTTATGTGCATCGAAGTTATGTAGGTGTGCTGTGCTGTTGAATTGGTGAATAAAAATTGGATTTGAAATGGCATTGTTTGATTGAGCTGAACTTTATATTGTTTGAAGCATACTTTTTGCCCTGCTGACCAAACCTATCTACTGTGCCCCTTGTGGCAGTTGCTGTACCATTTGATCTCAACACTAAAGGTGACAGTAGTAACAAACACACCAAGGCATGCAATGAGTGTTTGTCCTTATGATGGCAAACAATTCGTGGATCGGTGCCAAGAATGCCGTCTTGGAGAAGGAGGTGTGGTTGCATATGCCATTCAAGAATACAGAACCCAATGCACGATTTTAGAAGTCTTGTTTGGGGTCGAGATGCAGCTTGTGGTGGCCTGTAGAAAGGGAAAAGCAGGCGGCTCTTCTGGCATGAGTGTCTAGATAAATGCCGGCTTGAGCCAGTCGGCGGCGACTTCTGTCGTGACTGTTCACGTGCACCGTGAATCTGCCTCGCTCAAAGATGAAGTGGGGACTGGTGTAAAGCACCTGAAGGGAACGACTGAAACCATTGACGCGTAGGAAAACGTAGTGACTGTTATGGAGATCCCGGTGGAAGAAAGGAGTCTTGTTCTGGTGAGCTCGCATGGGTGTTGCATGAATGTCGGAAAAAAGGTGAGTTAACCCCTTGCCTACTCATTTTTTTTTTTTCTTCAACGAATGTAGAGCAAAATTTTATTTTAAATGAGCAATTTGCAATAAAATAAGGCAAAAACAGTTTCTCGACTGCCAGGTGTCACATGTTGCTCTAAATTAGAACTTCTGGGTTGAGTTCCACTGACGTGCTGACGCAGAAGTTGATGGAATGCTTGCAGGACTCGCATCAGTCTTGTCACTCGCGTCACTTCAAATCAAACTATCGTCCGATGCCTAAAAACCGGAAAGGCTGAAGTATTTGTGATTACATATGCTGGAGCATTAATCCCTATCGAAAGGAAGGTTTTGTATCTCTTTGATGGCTAAAGCGGACCACCGCACCAAAGCCATGCTTTAGCATGAATGCTCGCAAGCGACTGCTTTTTTTTTTTGGCTAAATGGAGTGCTCTCTTTCTGTCAAACAGCGAAACAAACGAGCGAACTACCCAAGGTAAATGGAGCAATGGGGTGGTTTTGGGATGTGCCAGAGCGCGTGCTAAACAAGCGCCAAAACCGGAACGTGAGTCATGCTCGTGGTCGGCCTTTATGGTCTGTAAGGGGTGGCACGACTGGTACTTGTTATTAGTAGGCAACGGGTTAAGTCCTCTACTTAGGGCACAACGGCAGGGGCGATTGACACTGCGGGAAGGTGTAGTGGTGCGCCGTATACTGGATGGGATGTGGCGCAAGCGACATCTTCCTTTATGGCAGTGCGCAGCCCACAAGAACGATCGGCAGGGACGCAACCCATCATTCTGGGTTGGCGTGGGCCATGAAAGACGCCTTTAGATGCAGATGGAAGCGTTTGACTAAGCCGTTTGTCTTTGCGTGTTAGGCCGTAATTTTGAGATGCAGGACGCCGAGGACAGTTGTCGACTGTCGGAAAAGGGCCAACTCAAACTGTAGTCCACGATTTGTGACAATCTCTGCGGGAACTCCAAAGTAAGCAATCCAAATGGACAGTATCGTAGATTTGACTGTCCCAGCAGTTATGTCGACGATGGAAGCAGCTTGTGGCCAGCGCGTGAACCTGTTGACGACAACGAGAATGTATCGGTATCCCTTGGACGGCGGTAAGGGTCCGACGAGGTCCGCGCGAATGGTGGCGAAGCGGGAGTCTGCCAGAAAATTTCGCCAAGGGCGTGGTGGTACGACGTGACAACCTTGCACTGTTGACAAGCCAGGCATGCACGGGCCCAGGCGCGAATGTCGGCGTTCATTCCCAGCCAGACAAATCGTTCCGCGACGAGATGTTGTGAAGCGCGGATTTATGGGTGTGAGAGACCATGTAGGTCTTTCTCAACAGCCGACGTTGTAAGGGTGGAGGAAGACAAGGCCGCTTGCGTCCCGACATGGGGTCGACGTCGCAAGTGACGCTTGTGCCTCGCTCCGGAAAGTAGACATCTATGAGACACAGGGACGATGTCACAGAAAAGCAAAGTGAGTGACGCTCTTCCTCACTCTGCTGTAGCTCTGCAAGTCGTTTAAGGTCGCATCTGTGGCATTCGATTGCACAGACGTGACCGAGAGCGTTGGCGGGAATGTGGTGGACACCCTTGACTGCCGAATGTCGGTGGAGAATTCGGCCAGAAATGTCAGGTGGCACGTTTCTCTGGGAGAGTAACTGGCCTTAGATGACCTGAGTGCATTGGTACGGGGCTTGTGATTGGTGAAGATAATGAAGGCTCATCTCTCCAGGAAGAAACGGGAGGGCTCGAGAGTCGGGTAAGCTGCAAGAAGCTCCCGGCCCAAAGTACTCGACCATTGTTCAGCCGGCGTCAGTTTCTCGGAGAAGAAACTGAGTGGATGCCATTCGCCGTTGCACACCTCCAACAGCAGAGCCGGAGGCATCAATTAGCATGTTCATGGGGACATCATGTTCTGGGTGAACCAAGAGGACAGTAGATGCAAGACGCTCTTTGATGGTAGCGAAAGCATGACCAGCAAGATTAAACCAGCCCAGAGAAGATGATGCAGACTTGGTAGTTTGAAGGAGCGCTTCAAGAGGCGGCAGAATAGTCGCGCGCAGCCCAGGATAAACGCCGGTAGTAGTTGACAAGGCAGAGAAAGCAGCAGAGTTGGCAGAGCGATTCGGGAAGTGGGAAGTTTGTGATCGTTTTCACCTTGTCAGGGTGAGGGCAGATGCCACTGCCGTCAACAAAGTGGCCCAGACACTTCATTGGCGAAACGCCGAACTCGCATTTCGCTGCGTTGATAATAAGGCCATGCTCGGCGATACGCTTGAAAACCAGGTGCAAGGGTGGCGCAAAAGTTCTGCTGGTTAGGCGTTGGTGATATGAGGATGTCACCGACGAAAGGTCCTTCGCAGGCGCAGGTTGGCTTGGATGGACCACTTCCTGTAGATAGGAATGCTGGAGTTGTTGACAGCTAGGAGGTGACAGAGAGGTGTAAGGGCATGGTCGACGGAATCGGCGGGGAGTACGCTTACTTCGGCCCTTGTGTCAACCAAGTACCTTTGTCTGACGGTAGCGTCCGTGACATAAAACAGGTGACCTCGGTCATCTCTGGGACCGCTAGTCGCCACTAGCGATCTCGTGTCACGTTTCCCGTCTTCCAGCTGCATGGCATTGTGCAATGCTCCGCTGAAGATCCGAAGCGCCGGTGGTACTAGCTATAGGGCGCCGCCGGCTGTTGGTCTCGCCGCAACCGGCAATGCCAACAGTCCACATGTGGTAAGCGAAAACAACGGCTAAAGCTCCGGGAGCAACAGTTTCGTTGGGGTCCAGAACTGCGCGGCCAAGAATGGCAGATGGTGCTTGTGACGAGTTCTCAAAGGTCCTGGATGCCTTGTTTAAGCACTGCAATTTCATCAGATCTAGGTGTGCATGGTGCAGGAGCGCAAACCGTTGAAGACACAGGCTCGTGGGATCGGGCAGACACGACGAATGGAGCCGCAGGGTGCTGGTTGGCGACTTCCATGATTTTATCGGCACGAAGAGCCAAAGCAGACAAGAGTAAATCGGATGCTGTTGAAGAGGCTGATCTACAATGGTCGGCAAAATGTCCCAGCCCATCAGGTCAAGGTGCTGACATGCACCGTCTGACATGGCCGTTTCTTTCGGCATGCCAGTGCAAAGCATCGAAACTTGATGCATGCATCGGTGTGAAGCAGTGAAGCTTGACGACAGAGCAGTGGGAAGCAGTGAGGCTTGATGCTAGAAATCTTGAATAGATTAAGGACCATTGACATAGAAGCTCACATTCACGTCTTTCTACGTTACATTGCGATACAACTACGAGTCACCGGGACATGCATGTTTCATATGTCACGTGCAAAGCTATTCCTTTCATCAGTCGCCACGCTCCATATTAAGCGCAGATGTCTCGGCGACTTGCAGTCGTAACTTGACGTAAGCAGACAAAGCCCCCGTAACATAATGCAACATGAGGTTGTGCAAATCAAATAACAAACACTATTATTTGCAAATTATTATTGAAGTTTTATATATTCTCACACCTCTATGCTCCTTTCACCTCTAGCCCGATAGCGCGACGGGAGCTACGCACTCGTTGGACCAATCAACTACCTCGTGACTGGTCTAAAGAGCACACACCATCCATACACTGTCAGCCTGAGGGCAAGCCTTCAGTTTTTAAATGTATAGCATTTCTAGGGCCACCTCTTGCACTTCCGTGACAGAGTCTGGGATGCAGCCTCGAGAGCGTGCATATATCGTTGAACACTCCGTGTGCGACTTATCTTGGAGCAGGGACTTCGCTCAGCGACAGCAAAGTAGACTACATGTAGTACGAAGGCTCTCGTTTGCAGGCTATGCGCAACACCAAAGCGATGCAGGAACAATGGTGGGCACAGCACGGCAAAGACGGAGTCAAAGACGTGGCTGCAAAATACGGTGCCGGACCGAAGCGGCAGCGGGAAGCCAGTCGCCAGTGCACAGCGGCCATCCGACAGTTCAACCGGCAGTTCACGGACAGTCTGGTGTGTAATGCGGGTTAAAGTCACTGGACCTTGTAAAAGTAAGGATTCCTTGCCTGCAAGCTAGTCGGACACAAACAAATACATATAGATGATCAAAACTTCGCAAGGTGATTGGCTGATCGGTCTCCGTTGCCGTGACAATCACCATTTTGGTCCTTTCGGAGTACAGTGTCATTGTAGTGAAAACGTTCCTCGCTAGTATAAGCATTTTAGGCACTGTGTATGCAATCAACTTACCAATCATGCATATCTCCACAGATCTCTTGCACAGGAAAATTATTTTTCAGTGGTGCCAAGCATTAACGCCACACGTGGTGGCAGTGCAAAGTTGTGCGTTTCTTTTGCCAGAGTTGTGGATAACAAGGTCTCTGTCTATAAAAAATCTCTATAAAGCAACCTGTCGGTGGCAATTTGGATCGGCTCGCCATGAATGGAGAGGTCAAACAGAAACCGCTCATTCCACGGACAAAAATGGCGATCACACTGGAGCTTGGCGCTACTTTCCCAGGATCTAGCAGACTGGCTACGGTTGGATGTGGGCAAAGGCATTCTGAATGCTACGCATTTATTTCTCCATCAAACGTCACGTCAGTCAGAAGCGTCCCTCGTTCCTCGGCGCGATCACGCACACGACTGAGGCGAACAGATGACACTGATCAGGTCCTGGTTCACGAGGAAGATGAACCTGAGCCCCGCAATCTCGACGACCGAGTTGTTGTTCAGCTTGTGCTTGTCTCCCGCCAGCACGGGCTTCCCGTCTATGTAGATGGGCCTCTTGCCTTCGTTGGCGATGATGAACTCGCCCGTGTTGCGGAGCTTGACCACGCCCTGGCGCCGGGACACCTTCCATGCCGGCCCCTCCAGAGACAGGTCCACGTCGATGGCGCTGTCCTTGGTAGCGCGGCCGATAGTGATCTCCTTGGAGCGCATCAGGTACCGTACCAGACGGCCCCGGAGCACGGCCAGCGTCTGGTTGTCGAAGTCAGCCGGCGTGACACCGGTGACGCTGTCCACCAAGACCTGCCACTTGGGCAGTTCGTTCTCGAGCTGCCGGATCTCCTGCTTGACCCCGCGGTCCATGAGGAACAGCTCGTGCTCCAGGGCTTCGTCCTTGGGCGAGCCAAGCGGATCCCTTTCGAGCTCCTCCTCGGCATCCGAGAAACTCAGCGTGTCTTCGCCCTTGGACCGCGGTGGCACCGTCTGGTCCGGCAGGAGGTAGTACTGCTTCATGAGCGTCCAGTGGTTCTGCAGTGCCTTGGCGGTGTGCGCGGCGAGGAACACGTCAACATGCTTCTCTAACAGTTCCTGGAAGTCTTCGAGCGTCGGCTGAGCAGTCGACGGGATCGTGCCCAAGAGCAGTTCTTCTTCTTCACTGAACAGGGCCTTGGCTTGGATACCAGCCAGGACATCCGGATGGAGCTGTTTCATGGACGCCACGGCCATCTTGGAGATTGCGGGGTCGTAAAGGAGGGCGTACCACCGCTCCCGGATCTCTTGCAGGGTGAAGTTGCAGGAAAACTTGACGGCCCGAAAGACGGCTTCAAGATCGGTGGTCTGCTGGACCGCCAGGATGAGCGCGTAGTCGTCGTGCGGCTTCCAGCGGCCAAGGTCTTTGGCGACGACCGCCTGAGCGCTTTTCGAGGACTTCTTCACGCGTTTCGGGGTCGACTTGGAACTTTTCTTGCGCTCAGAGTAGAGCGAGGCGACGGATTCCACCTGACTGCTGTCCGAGAACGACGCCACCACCGATGTCAGACTGGACGACGCGGCCATGGGTCCGACTCCGGCGGTGAGTGAGCTTGACAAGGGACCGCCCAAGGGTCGCGCCCGCGACGTCTTAATGAGGCTGCTCTCGACCAACTCGTCGTCGAACTTTTTGCGTTTGATGGAGCGCGACGAACTGCGCCGTTTCTGCAGGTGTTCCGAGAGGTAGCTGTTTACCTTCATTCCCGGGTGAACCGCCGTCGAAGGAGGTCTGGGCACCGACTCGCTATCGGAGTTGGAGAAGTTAAGGTGTCCCATCGCTGTCGGGGGCGACTCGGGCGCCTGTGACACCTCGCTCACGTCTTGGGAGTTGTCGCTCGCCACGGGGCCCAGGATGAGATTCGAAGACATCGCGCGTGTTTTGACGGGCGCACGCACTCCGACTTAGTGTTGGCGATATCACGAAACGTTCGACGGGGATTCAGATGGCTCGGAGAACGACAATGTTTTGTCTTCGACGAAGATCGCAGGCGCCGTAGGCGCGCAGATAGCGTCCTCCACTTTCTTCTTCTGCGCTAAGGCTTTGGATTGAATCAACAGGATTAGATTCAAGAAGTTGCTTGAAACTTGGATGGATAAGTAAATAATATTAACTATGCCTTTTGTAACGGGCAGTAGCTTGCGCCACCTAGCGCCTTTCGTGTCAAAAGTGGTACCGCCAATTAACGTTAGGTACTAAAGGCCCGTTCATACTCTTGCAACCAAGTACGACCGAGAGAGTCGAGACTTCTTAAAACCTCTTAAAACTTCTTAGGACGAGACAAGGACGAGAGAACATATTGGCACACTGGCGCTATCTATGCAGTGACCCTGGAACCATATGCCTGAAACTGCATTTTACAAGAGCGAAGGTTTTGCGGTATTTTCGAGGTCAAATGTGCGTAATACCTATAAGAAAGGCTCGTTTATAACGTTGACAAAAGTTTTTTGAGCCAAGAATAAAAGGACGATGCGCGAGAGAAATAGAAAATATGCCGGACCGCCAAGTTTACACTGCTACCCTTCTAACTTTCAAGGAACCCAGTTTTAAGAGGTCGCAAGGGTCGCAAGAGTGTGAACGGGCCTGAACTTCACCTTATGTTGTACTTCAACGAAGGCTAGAAGCGCAAGCTCATAGCCAGCGTTCACAGCGTTGGCAGAGTGGTTGGCAGGCAAAAGCTCCGCCATTTACCTCGTTGACCTCCGCTGGGCGCCGCCATGTTGTACAACTTTGACCACTTGGCACGTGACGAAAAGATGGCAGCGCCCTGTGGGAGTCGAATGCGTTGAGGGCGTCGGTGTAGTGTGTGGATTTCGTGTTTTCAGAGTTTTGTGTGCTCTCTCGCGTAGGAATAACGTGGAGTACGAGGGGATGAGGCTTTTCGCGTGCATTCATTCAGGATAAGCCAGCTTCGGCCCCGTGCTTCTCGTATGGGTTCGGATCATTTCCGACCTGTGCTCTTCGGACATCGCTCGGTCGTTCGAGTTCAAAAGAGTTCTAAAGGTACGACGGACGTGCCCGGTCAATTTTCTTGGCGCGGTGGTCAAGATTCGCATTTGAGGCACCAAGAGAAGTGTTAAAATCTCTGAACTGCTCGGCGCTGAGCGAATTGGCGCTGAACTAGCTGGTCCGAGTCCGAACCTCCGTGCGCCTTTTCCTCAACGCTTGGAGTTTGGACCTTACTACGTGGTTCGTGATGACGTGAAAAGGGCTCCCGTCTGCCGAGTGCCGACTGCGATCGGTTGGCAGTCGTCATGGGCGTACCAACCGAGGGGGGCAAGGCGCTTGTGCCCCCCCCCCCCCCCCCCAGTTCTCAGTGTGTGTGTGGGGGGGAGGGGGCGGCAAGGCAAGGCATGTGTTCTGCCCCCCTCCCCCCCCCCCCCCCTTCCCCTGAAACAGCCGCCACCAGGCAGGGCAAACACTGGCGCCCAAGGGATACTCAAGGGCAGGGGGGGGGGGTGGGGGGTGGGGAAGAGGGGGAGGTCTGGTTTGCCCCCCCCCCCACTCAAAAACAAGTTGGTATGCCACTGGCAGTCATGTGCACAAAACTGTACCAGCTTCTCTTATCATTATGTTGTTTTCAAGCAGCTTCCTTTTCACTGAACGTCGTCGTCGCTCAGCGTGCTTCAGCGCTACAAAAATTTTGAGCGCGCATAAAAAGCATTTGCTCATTCTCCGTCGCTTTTGTGCCCTCTAAATTTGTTTACAATCACCAATACCCGTGAATTGTGTTTTTTTCTGTGGTAAAAATAGATTTTTACAAATAATCTGAACTATTTAAACCATTTGAACACTTGTATTTGCGGTCTGTGAACATAGCAGACAGCTTTTGACGCGCATCTTTTCGGTTCAGATTTCGACAGCTCGTCTTGCTCCGTCACTTTGCTAACTGAGACAAACGACCCTAAAAACAAGACCATGCCGAGTACCTGCGCCGCTATTGACTGTGCCAACAGGGGTAGCCGGGACTCGGCGATCTCGTATCACAGGTAAGTTTCTTAGTTCTTGAAGTCAACCTGGTCACGCCGTTAGCTTTACTTGCCATGCAAACATGTTGAGACTGACATGGCGTGAATTTCTCTTCCGTCCCCTCGCATGCTAAAACGTCTGCAGCTCGCATTCACGCACACTTAGTGCTTTATGAGGAAAGCAGCTTATAAGCTGATCCCACTGCTAAAACCTCTTCACTTAAATTCATGCCTCCCACAAGAGGAAATGTGATTCACTTCAGAAGTATGGCATTCTTAGTGTTAGTTTGTAGGAGAAGGGCGATTTGAATAAATGAGCACATAACCATACCTACTTGTTCCTGCTAGTGGCCCGAAAAGGAGGTTAGTCTGCAAGATACCAGATAGCTTATTTATGCACTTGGGATGTGCCTAAAACAGTCTTTACCAGATGGCTTAGTACCTTTTCGTATGCTAAAAAAAGAAAGCTTTCATAGTTGCTTCTTTATGCCATCACAGATTCCCACTGAATGATCCGGAACTCCTGAAGGCGTGGATGGAGAAAATGCCTTTTCGAGACTGGACGCCCAGTAGGTGGTCCAAATTGTGCTCAGTGCACTTTGCAGACAACTGCTTCTACCAGCTGAACAATAAGACATACCTCAAGCAAGGAAGTGTGCCAACGGTGTTCAGCTCTCCTGCAAGTAAGACAAAACGGTCACCTCGGAAGCGATTAAGATCGCAGTCTGACCAGGCCTCCCTTCTGTGCCAGCAACTGAAGCAAAGACATAGGTATGAACAGGGCCAGTTTCATTGCAGCAGATCACAACTTATTTATTTCCCTCAAAATAATTGTTGCAGATTTAATACATGAAGGGGATGGGTCCCAAGGAGCACTCTTAAACTAACGTGCTCACTCTCTGCACTTGACAACACTGCACACACACACACAAAAAAGTCAGTACAACAATTACTAGGTAAAATTACACATGATGCAGACCCCAGTCTTCTGGTACTTTGGGTGACAAGTTGTACAATTTGCAAAGGTATACCTTTTGTATCTGAAAGTGGTGGTCAACGAATCACTAGAAAAGTGGCATCTTTGGAATCCAATAGACAGGTTTCAGTAAAGCATGGGGCTTCTACTCAGGTTCTTTGCAACAGCTTCAACCACCACCATTATAATGATTCCATGGCATTCCATTATGCTTTTTACAATAATTCAATCATAAGTGGGTTTTGCGTTTTCGGTGTATACCAATAAACATTAAAATATAACCTCCGAGAAATTTTTCTTGAAATCAGTAAAAACCGAAAAACCCCGAATTGAGCTCGCCTTGATGAAAAAGCCCACTTTCACATTGGGAACCTTTATAAATAACTGTATTTGTGCTTAACCAGAACATTGTCCGCGAGGCTTTTTTCTTTATTTCGAAATTGTTTCTATGTGCTTCAGTTAGAAATGAATGACGAATATAATGTCGCGTCTCCTAGAAGCGCCACAGATATGCATTCTATGTTATTACAGAAGCACCGTTAAAACCCGAATTTCGGTCGATATCAAATGTAGACGCCAAAAAACTCAGAATTTGAGAGAGAAAAAAAAGAGATAAACACGAAAAAATCACCCCCATTTTGAAGTAATTAAACTTCGAGGGCACCTAAGCTTTCTCCTATGATATGAGAATGCAGGAGCATTACCTTTGGCCGGGTTATGTTGGCACAACGGATAGCGCACTAGTTTTTTTATCAAAGGGGCCTAGGTTCGAAACCAAGCAAGGGATGGTTTTCTTTTAGTTATTTATTTTTTGTTTCACCATTTGACCAGATAGATTACGCGACCAGAAAGATCACATGACTGGAGAGCTCACGTGACCAGAGAGATCACATGACGAAAGATTTCTTTTCTCATTGTCTTGATTTTTGATTGTTTTGGATTGGTCACGACTTTTGGTTACGGTTCTTGGCTACGGCCTGCGATCACGGCCCTTTTTTTGCTCATAGAGCCAGGTAATACTCACACATTAAAAAATAAATAACGAAAACTTGGAACCCTACTCATAAGCCAGAACCCTAGCACCCACTTTTTGTGGGTAAGTGCCACTTGTGGCCCATGCATAAAAGGTGTGGTCACATATCACACTCCACTGTATAACCTGCAAACAACGCATGCACTGGCACACAGTCTTGTGGAATACGGGCAGTCTTGAATGTCACTGCTCGTTTTGCTGACAGGTCTAGTTCTCCGGAAAGGCAGCCTGGATCAACAACCGAGCAGTCATCCCCAGGAGAGGCCCATGCCGCCGCTGGTTCTGGAAGTAGTGTAGAGATGGTTACTTCCCCCTCTTCGGCTACGACGTCAGAGACTCCCCCTGAAGCTGTGTTCATGCGACACAACACTTCCTCCGGTGACCACTCATATGCAGCTGTGTCCCCACGACTGCAGAGGGTCCTCCTGGCCACGGGGAAGCACGAGCTGCAGGAGGTGAGGAAACTGTTGAAACAGGCTAAGAAGGAGACCAGTCGGAAGATGGCCAGGATTAGGAAGCTGAACACGCTGCTCTGTCAACTGAGATCACAACTTCCTAAGCCAGCAGTTAGATACTTGACAATGCATTCACCAACACAATGGGCAACCTCCTCCTAAAAATAGTTAGGCACAACAAAAATGCATGTACAGAGGATGTGCGCAAGTTTGCCCTTGCACTCCATTTTTACTCAGCAAAGGTGTAAAGCTTTCTGCGGAAGCATGTCAAGCTACCACACCCAAGCACCCTGTGGAAATGGGCAGTGGTGGTGGATGCACAACCAGGATTCACCCAGCAGTCACGGCATCATCCGCAACGACTGCGTCACCTCTGCAAAGCATGCACTTGTTAGCCAACAGAAACTGGAACATCCCCCTGGGCTACGCCCTCATTGATGGTCTGGACGGCAACGTTCATGCCAACCTGGTACGGGAGTAATCATCAAACTGAAGGAAGCTGGAGCCGAGTGCATAAGTGTGACCTTTGACAGGACAAACCACAGCATTACCATGCTCACAGCGCTCGGAGTGCACTTTGCTCAGATGCTGAAGAGGTTGTTCAGCAATCCATCGGACCCCACCAGCAGGCTCCACGCTGTCTTGCGACGCCACATGCTAAAGCTCATGCGCAACCAGCTGGACGAAAGAGGGTGCATCAGAGATGGGGCAGGTAGGGTCGTGGCCTGGCTCTGAACAACCTGCAGCAGCAAGAAGGCCTTCACGCAGCCAATAGGCTCCGAAAGCAGCACATGCTTAGACCATGACCTAAAAATAGGGATTCCCCATTGCAGCACCTCCACTTTTAATGCCACTTTTCTACCCCAGACCTCCATTGATTGGAATCGCCTTCCCACACATATAGTCTCAATAACTAACACTGTTGATTTTAAAAATGTTATTACCAACTTTTTCTAGATGTTGCATAGTGTGTGTTTTTTTTGTTGTTTTTTGCCTCACTTAACTATGCAACTTTTATGTGTTAACCGCCCACTCCCCTCTGTATTGCTTTCGTGCCCTGAGGGAATAATAAATGAAATGAAATTGACTTTGAGAGACAAAAGATGAAGGTGCCATTGTCAGCCCAAACCTTGAGCTGGTCCGTCAGCTGTGCCCTGTGTTGAAGCCACTGCTTCAACACTAACTTGTTGCCCCAAATTCGGGGGAACTGCCCCATGGAGCGAACCGACGTCATCAGCTTTGAAACCACGCCAACCATTGGCCAAATGTCAACTAAAATTCCCTTTCCCAAGTGAAGCCGATTTCTGATGGATTATGCTCCCATTGGACGGTGCACGTCATCAAGGAACGCAGCTCCTATTGGCTCTTGTTCTTCGTAATTCCAAAAAAAGCCACCAGAGAAGCCCTCTCCATGGCGGCGCAGCGCACGCAGCAGCGCGGCCGCCGGTAGGAGGATGGAGTGGAGGCTGCAGAGCCAACAGAGCCCGTCCGGGCTGATTCCAGAGAGGTCGCACGGCCGAGCTCAGCGCGGCGCGGCCACTTCACGAAAGCGCGCGCGCTAGGCCGTCTGCCGGCGAAACGTGGCCGTCCACGCCACTACGCCGCAGACGAACTAAGGAAGTGGAAGAACATTTATGCTTTCGCATTCACAACTCATAAGAAGTGTTTGTTTTTTGTGTGTGTGTGTGTTCTTTTGCCGCAGCCCCTCAGACATATGTATGTCTGGAAATAAAGATTATTTTTATTATTAACTCACGCACACTGTTGTAATATTTATTTGTATTTTTACAACATGTACACGGGAGAACCGCTAAGCAGTCCAGATCATCCAAAGCACGGATGTCCCGGAGGCCAAGTTTTAACTAGGGCTGGGCGTCAATTTTAACCGAATAATTAACCAATTAATAGATTTCGTACATTTCCATGTATCATAGCTTAAAAAAAAAGTAAATTACAATTTTTTTGCTTCTGTTAAATTTGTAATAAACGAGAAAATGCACAATTTCATATTTTAAATAAACGTTGATGTGTATATGAGAACACCCAAAAGACACCCACACTCACAAATTATTACTTCAGCTTCAGAAGCAAACAAGTTCGTTAATATTTTCCGGCAATAGGGAACTCCTTTGATTGTTCGGAATATTCTCAGCTACGCTAAACGGACAATCGCATGGCGTTGAAGTGGCTGTGGCACATGTAACATTCACTTCACTCGAGTTGCATATCTCGCCCCTGCGGTTTACTTTAGGTCAAATGTTCACCTAAAGTTTGCCTTCGTGCAGGTGTACTCGTACACGTCTGCGTGGTGAAAGCGTTCAATCTTACTTTTTTGTTTCTCAAAATTTAACCGACTAACATGTTTAAAAATTTAATCGCGATTAAAGCATTAATTGATTCATCGGTAGGCTGTTAGATTAAGTGCCCGGACCAAGTTATACCGTAACGTAGGAAAGCAAGCAAACATTCTATTTTTTCTATGACCTTGATCAGTGTGCCGGTCTAGCTTGGCGTTCCAACGCAATGCGTTTTTCATAAAAAACGGCTAATCCGAACCACTTCGCTCGTAGCACCCGAGAGGGGGCGCTACGAGCGAGGTGGCTTTAAAGCCCTTTAATTAGCCTTTTTTTTTTTTTTTCCACATGCAGAGGTGCAGAAATAGCACTCCGGTGGCCCCACTCGTCCTGACCGGTGAGGAGGCACCTCCTCCTCACCGCTTTGTCCTCTTTGCTCCGGAGTTGAGTTAAACAAGTTTCTAGAGTAATTAGACCCATACATAGCTCATGAGGCATGTTGCCTGCAGGGACTTACGCGGAACACCTCTCAGGAAACGAGTTTGTATTGACAAGAATTCAATTATCGTAAGTTGAAACTTATTTCGATCGGCTCTTTAGGCAAGTATAATTGCCCACATTTTTAGTCGGAGTGGTCGGGGGACAGTTAATTGTTCAGGATGGCTCAGGCGGTGTTGGGTATGGTAGTGTGGTCACACCACCATGCGGCTCAAAAAGTCCCATTGCTCCTAGACGACAGTGAAAGCCACAAGGAAGACCGCTCTCTAGCCCGGATATAGAAGAACGTGGCGGGGCAGCACTGAGCATCTCGCTTGATCTCATCTCGCAACACTGGTTGCAGGGACTCCCAAAAACGAAAGACAAGCGCGAGGAAACTTCATGAGTTGTGATCCTGGGCCGGCTTGCTAGAACTAAAGCCTCTATCCTGGGAAGAGTGGCGCCATTCATTGATGTGGAAATGCTTGAGACACATGCCGAGCGCCACTTCTGGGAAGAACATGACGTCTGAAATCTAGCTCAGTGCTTCGCTGTGCCGCCATGAACTTCCCAAGAGCTGCACGTTGCACGTACCTCGTGCATCGACGCAGCTCGCGCTACTTTTAAAACATGAAGGGGTTTTCGTTAGAACAGCCTCTCAGCTGAGATAGAGTGTTCTGGAAAAGACGAGTGGGGTCACCGGAGTGCTATTTCTGCACCTCCGCATGTGAAAAAAAAAAAGGCTAATTTAAGGGATTTAAAGCTACTTCGCTCGTAGCGCCCTCTCGGGCGGTACGAGCGAAGTGGTTTGGATAAGCCGTTTTTTATGAAAAACGCCTTGCGTTCCAACGCCAAGCTTGACCGGCACACTGATCAAGGTCATGGAAACAGTCACAGGCGTAGACTTCGGGGGGACATCGGGGCACGGGCCATGATCCTTACCGAGACGCTGTTTACGTATAACGCCGACGTCGCCTTTATTGACAAAATACATGGGAAATGGAATCCCAGCTTGCTTTTGTTAGCTTCATCAATCTCCAGTTCTGGTGAAAAGGCAATGCGCTGCACCCGCCCCCCCCTCCGAAGAACGTCTCAGCCTGCCGCCCCCCCCCCCCCCCCCCCCCCCCCCGGGAAAATGGAATGTCTACGCCGCTGGAAAGAGTAGAACGCCGGGTTGTAATTTATATACAGCCTAGACGTCAGGCGTCACGTCAATACATAATGTCACCGCGACCTGACTTGTGGTAAGAACGCCATGCGACATCACGACGACGCCTTGACGTCAACGTCGTCATCGACGTTGACAACGCGCATTACACGATATCAAGACTGCGTTCTGACGTCATATTGCGTTGACAACGACGTCGATATCAACGTTGACGACGACGACGACGTCGCGCGACGTCAAGATGACGGCGTCCTTGTCAATTCGGCGTCATAAAGACGCTTGGTGTCAGGTCGTTGACATGACGCAACTCGACATCACGGCGACGCCCCGACAACTTCACGACGTCGACGTTGATGTTGGCGAAGGCGAAGACGTTACACGCCGTCAAGGCTTCATCGTGACGTCGTTGTGGCGTTGACGTTGACATCGTTCAAACGACGTTAACGCGACGTCATAGGGACATTTGAGGTTACTTAAGGCGTCGACGTCAACGTCAGCATCAACGTCCACGTTCACGTCGTTCTCGACGCGGCGCAGCGTCATGACCACGTTACAACGGCGACTTGATGACGGAAACAGCGTTCTCCTCGACGCGACGCGCTGTCACGAAAGCCTTACAACAGCATCTTGGCGCCAGGTAACGTCGTGGCGCCGTCGTAACGTCATGTCGTCATGACGTGGTGTTTTGACGTTGCCTCTGACTTCAAAATCATAAAAAAATACAATATAGCCCTATATTGCCCATATGACCTTGACATGTGTCGCCGCTCGCCTCCTGCGCTGAAGCTTTGAACAGAGGCTTTGAACAAACTGTAGCGCCCTCATTTTGGGTAGTATACAAGCGCACCTGATTGAGCCTCGCACTACTTATGGCACGTTGGTTGAGCTTTTATTAATTCTGTCTGGTGCTGAAGAACGAAAAACACCTTATGTCGCCAGAAATCGGCCAGACTCAACGCCGCAAGACAATCAAAAGTGCCAAATTCATGACACCACCGCTAGGGTACGCGTCTCTTGTCTCTGGGCGCATGGCGACGTCAAAACACCTGTGTCGCGACGCTTTCATTTTTCTTTTTCTTTGCCATGTCTACTTTGGAACGCGTGAAAGGGCATCTCTTGGCTCACGCTCTTAGCGTCTTAGCTTTGACAGCGTTCGAATGTTTGTTGTTTCTTTGTATTTTCACCGTGATCTCGCGCTCCGCACCAGAGCAGGCACGCTTCTGCATGTGTGGCAGCTTGAGACGCTAAAGTTTGTGCTACCCAAAACAAGGCCTAACAAGTCTCTTTTCGTAGCACCCCCTGGGCAACGCAGGAGGCCCATAGCGCTGTTATAGAAGGGGCTTGGTTCCACCTGATCGCTTTCCACAGTTTGAGGTGCCACTGAAAGCATGAGCGGAGCCTGTAGTGCCTGTAGTTCGGCCCACTCAGTCGTTTCTAGTTCACTCTAGCTGAGACTGGGTGAAAGAAAGCAGTGCAAAATGTGGGGCGCGCGAGCGTCTTGAGACGCGGCTTGAGTTCCGCTCAGCTCGTGCGCTGGCTTTGACATTGTCTCCTTTCCCACTGTCTCAGCTGAGACGCTGTTTCTAGCAAGTCGGCCCTGGCTGCTTCTCATTACTTGCAAAGGACAGGGGTCATGGTTGGTGTAAAGCGCACAGTGGAAGCTTGGAGTCGTTGAATTATTAAACCAACACCACGAAAGTTGATCGTCTCAGATTATTCCTATCTCAATAAATGAGGTAAAAAGTAATCCATTGAAAGATGACCTAGGCAGGGTTTCGCCCAAGTGCAACGCTTTTGATTGCTCACTTCTAGTTGAAGGGATTTATTAGACCCTTTTCGGTGAGCCTCAGATTTGAGCCACGATGACCAGGGGTGCTATGTTGCGCTTTTTGGACTCCCAGGAGACTAGGGAGAAGGAAGTGACGTCAACGACACAGCAAACGCAGATTGGGTGTTGATTTCGTTTTCTTCTGTCAACATCCAATCTGCGTTTGCTGTGTCGTTCACGTCACTTCCTTCTTCCAAGCCTCCTGGGAGTCCAAAAAGCGCAACATAGCACCCCAGAGCTCTGTTCGTTGGCCTACCGTGAGGCCCAGCCACTGCGGTTTGGACATAACACTCTCCGTAAGTTGTCTTCGAATAGAGTAACGTTAAAACTGAAAATCTCGAATCCCTGCACGATGGCGGACAAAACAGAACCGGCGCGGTTGGGAAGTTGGAACCTTAAAAGTATATATATTTGTTTACCTTGGGGAGTGAAGAGAAAAAAATTCCCCTTCGTCGTCGCCATATGTAGTTCAATATTTGCACCTTTCGTGGTGTCGGAACATGGCGGGCAGCATTGAATAGCTTATTTATATGCACTAAGTGTTTCTGAAAATTTGCTTATAACGCGCTTTTTTTTTTTCTATCTTTTTTTTTTTTTTTTCTTTCACTTGACTAACTGTGACTGCAAGAACGAGGAAGAAGCGCGAGAAAATATTTGAGACAAGAATCCTCTGCGTCATGAGGAACAGAATCAGCGCCAATTTGCCTGAAGTTTTCAACCTCGAATTTCAGCCACCTTTCAAAAGATGTCGCGTCGTGCGCGTTGTGCGCTACAACATAATTCCATTGTAATATTTAGGATAATTGGTATGCTTTGAAAACATTAAAATCATAAAAAGTGATTTAATTAGACCGTGAAAAGCTCTAATTAAAGAATTGTTTAAACAGCTGTCCTCTCCTCTGGAACTGGTTTCTTATGTACAGAGTCGAGCTTCGACATAGTCCCACGATTTAAAATTATTTTAAACAAATCTGAATATGAATACAACCAAA